TAAATATCTTTATTAAAATTTTCTTAAGTGATACATATTATTATAAATTTAACAATGTTTTCTTTGTCATCACTAAAAGCACTATTAACCGAGAGCGTTTTATTTTTGGCTAGTTATCGTTATCCTCTGAGCATTTTTCTGCATTATTTTCAGATTCATGCTTTACCTTTTGCAAAAAGTGTATGTAATTTTAGATTGCTTGCTTCTAGTTAAAATATCTTTATAAATTTCCTTATATGGTGCTAAGCACTTATGGAATAAGGGAAAAACATCTGGCAACACAGAATGCAGAAGCGTCGAGATCTGGCAAAATTGAAACAATTTTCGCGAAGGACCATGTGTATGGAGACGAGAAAAGAAAATTTACACACTGAAGTACTAATAGTTTACAAAAATAATAATTTTTGTGAACTATTAGTACTTAAGTATGTAAAAATTTATTACATTTCATGTTGTACGAGGGTTTTACCCATTTCTCGAACTGTGTTAGAGCGAATCCGTGCTATAGAAGTGCTGTGTTATACGGAGGTTACCTGTAATGCTAGGTATCTAAAAGATTTATTATACATTGAATCTTTTAAATATTATAATTATATTAAAAATAAATTCTATCAACTACAGGAACAACTATAAATTATATTGCAGCTAGTGGGACTCATTTCTTGTATTCTTTTATAAATTTTGATATAACTGAATATATATGAATATTGTGTAACATTGATTTTTGCTTGTCATAAAACAAGAATCAATATTTCATCAAACCTTACTTAGACTTAAAGCAATGATATTTAATTTATTCTAAATATTAAGAAAATATCTAGTGTTGTCTTGCACTTACTCATCTTTTTCATAGCATGGATAGGGAAACTGCTGCATATAAGATGATGCAGATATACTCATATTGTAATCTGTTTGTATAATAGTGATTGCTTGATCTACTAACTCCTGCAATTGTATGAATCCACGAAAATATCTAAGCTCATCTAAAAAGTTATCTCTAGGACCTGGTTTCCAAAATCTGTAATTAAAAAAATATTTTTTTAGGTTTAACTTATCACTGAATTGTCAATTAATATATAATTGAAATTTTTGTAAAACTTACTTATCACGAATTTTGCGTGTAGATGGTATATTATCTATATCCATTCTTAGTTTATATTTTATATGTGATGGCAAACGACCTGTATTCTCAACATCCCTTTTTTCTCTAGTTTCATTTATATTTAAAAATACAATAGCTAAAACATTAAAAAATATAAATAAATATTTTCACAGAATATAAAATTAAAACTATACAATAAATTAAAATAAAAGAAAGCAATACCAGCAATAAATTCTCTTCTTTCGTGCAAAACTGACGCTGCTTTTTCTAGTTCAAGTTCATTATCAAATCCAACGAATCTATTAAGTTCAAAACACTGCGACATATTTCCAACCAGTTGTACTAAGTCAAGAAGTCCGCTTACATTACTGATTTGATTTCTAAGTGAAGCAATATTAAATCCTTTTAATATATTACTAGCATCATCACCAATAACCTGAGAAATCAGAGGCTGAACTGCATCTGATTGAATCAGTTTCTGCAAAATATAGAAAACAAAAAATTAAATATTTCAAAATTACAAATGTACAGTTGATTAAATGTTATTAATATTTTCTAACTTTCATTTTCTCAAATTTATGTTCATGTTTTTGCAAATATTGTAGTCCACTTGTTCCTTCTCCCCAAGCATGTAATATATCTATAAATCTTGTAATAGAATTAAAGGTTCTGTTTAGCTGTAAAAAAAATAAAAAATTTTAGAAGATTTTAGCAAGTTTCCCAATTTTAAATTATTAATTGTTTTATACAGCCTACCTCTTTCATAATTAACTGAGTTTTTATGTTGTTGGGAGAAAATAAAATTTTTCCTCGTAAGATTGGCTTAAAGAAACCCCAAACAATAGGTCCTCCTACCATATTCATAACTTGCTCGTATCCGTGTTGACAGAAAACACCTTTAAAATAAAGAAGAGAATGCAACAGAACTGCCAAAAAAAAGTTTCTGTTTCATGGATTTTGTATTGCTTTTTTAACTTAGTAAAATTTAATAAAATTAATTATTTAAAAATTTTTCCTTCTATAAAAAAAATCTTAAACTTCAATTTTAAACTCGTGATGCATCTTAGAATTGAGGAAATATGGTATTATGTGATTTTTATTAAAATGAAATAAAAAATATCATACTTGGTAGTTCTTCCAAATCTCTTTTATCCAGTTGAGGTGCACTATGAGAAATTTGCAAGACGTTAAACTCATCTTGAAGTGTTTTCAGAGGCTTACCGCATAAAATTTTTCCAGATGCTTTCAAAGCCTGAGGTGCTAAAATACATTGTATATTAATGACAACTGTTTAATAATTTATATTTTTAATTATTTTTTTAATTAATAAAGATTCATTTATGATTTATATTTAATTTTAAATTAGTAAACAGATTAAAAATAGTTGATAAGATATAAAATTATTTATATCCTATTCAAGAAAATGGAAATTTTAAATAATTATGGTACAAAATGCTCACTTCCCAAAACACGAATTCCATCATTTGTAACATTTAGCTGCATTAAATGTTCTCTAAATTCGGGATCCAATGATTTCGTTAATTCTGAAATGTGCTGTTTTATTTTTGGTATTATGGAGGGTGCCAATTTAAGTATATTAATTGTATTTACAGCTTCATCCCAACTTAAACCTGCTCTTTGAATTAAATCTTCAATTCCCAATTTTGCAAACTGAAAAATGCCAATTTATGGTTATTGATATAGTTTTAAAAAACTTAAACATAAATATAAAAATAAGTCTCTCTTTTTACATTTCCAATTATGCGTGATAATGCGAGTTCTCTAAGCAGTATAGTTGATGCTTTAACAGCTTGAGATGCAGAAATGCTGCACAGTGTTGTACTTATTTCCTCAATAGTAATATTTGAATTTTCAACATTTAATAATTGTTTCAATTCAGCTGGATTGCAAAAAATATCTTTAGCAGTTGTTGGATTTTCATTTGCTAAAAGCTATAAAATTATTTAAAAAAAATTAAATTTATTCCTATGCTTGAACAATAAATACATTAATTTATTTTAATAAATTGTACCACAGTTAAGTCTAGATTGGCATTCATAACAGATTCCACAGCATCGTCATCAATTGCCAGATCTTTTTTTAACAGTTTCTTTAATGAGTTTGGATCAGAGAAAAGGTCTTGAACACGATCTATTCAAAATATGAAATTCAAATTAATAAAAAAACTTTTTTGAGGTGATTTAACATCAACAAATATTTTATAAACTTACATTTTATATCAAATAAATGAAGGCCTTGCAAAGATTTTAAACCTTGAATTCCTTTCAATATTATTTTCATATCATTTAATACTGGACTTCCTTCAAATACTGGTTCCAATGAGTCTATCAAACCTTGTAGACTATAAATTAAATTATATTTTTTAATTAATGTTAGTAATTATGTTTGTAAAAATTTTTAAAAATTTATGGCATTTAACTTCAAAATTGTTCTCAGTTTATAATATTTGGATACAAAAAAAGCTGAAATAGCATATAAGCAGAAGACTCCAGCTTTCTCAGAAATTTCAATCTTCAGTATAAGCTACATTTATTACTATCACAATAAATAATAATCATGTAAAAGATTTTAATATGATCTTCTTTTCCCAAATAAAACATTAAGAGTAATTTACAAATTATTTTAATTTAATTATTTGTTATTTAATAAATATATTCTATGTTTTTTTATTTTAAGATAGCAAAGATGTGTACAGTCCTGGTAGCATAGCATCATACCCCTGCACATGCTTTCAGAAGAGATTCAATAATTTACTATAAAGATTACCAAAATTATTGCTTTATCCTCCAATTATATTGAATTTTTAACATTATGAACTTGGAATACTAAAGATCAAATACCAATTGTCTCTCAGAATGGAATGAACAGACAAGAATTTTGAGTTACAGTAATGGTAATTTCTGTAACTCAAAATTCTTGTCTGTTCATTCCATGAGATTGATTGCATTAGTTTTATTGCAATATTTACAGATTTAAGTATATTACTGATATTACTTTTTAGATTTGTATATATACATTAAATAACAGAATCTTTATACTATTAGTAAAAGATGCCAATAATCCATTGTTTCTGCTTGATTGCCTCAGAAAAATTGTGTGTGTGACATAGCTACTAAAAAGCCATTTATAAAATTTGATTATTGTTAAATGTGAACTAATCAAATTACACTTAAAATACAACATTTTTAGTGTAAAATCTCATTAATTTTTTGTATTTTGTATCATGACTTTGGAGGCACTAAGGCACTAGCATGTCAAATAACTAAATATTTCTTCAAATGTATGTAATTAAACATTTAAGACAAACTTAAAATAAAATCAAAGTGGTTTTAATGTGACTCCTTTAAAATGCAACAGAGAGTACATATCACACATTGAAATAAATTTCCCAGAATCCTAGATTTTGCTTTCAAAACAATTTTGATTTATACACATGCACAATGCATTGAGTTTGAGTTAAAATGGAGTGAAAATAAAATTTGACTTAACAAAGTTTGATATAGCAAGAGTCAACTCTAAAGTTTCTCAAAAAGGATTTCCTGAAAATTTATAAAATTCAAGTTATGATAATTAATTAAACATTAAATTCATTTACATAGGTTATAGATTACATCGTGATTATTGTCATACCATATTAAAAATGTAAGGCAGATATAATTTTAAACAAGAATGTAATGATTTCTTTTGTTACTGTCATCTTGTAAAAAAAAAAGCAATTACAATCTATTTCGATTCAACATTTTTCCAATTACCATCTAGCAAAATTCTCAGTACAAAATACAATTACTTAATGAAAAAATTCATTGTAATCACTTATAATAAACATGTAAATAATTTTAAATATGGTATGAGAGAATATAAATATGTCAATATAACAACTAACTATTTTGCAAAGCATATTCCTTCATTTACTGTAATTATGAAATCCAAAATAAAATTGTTTGTTTTCATTCTAGTTTTTAGAAAGTTGTATCTGGAATTTCTTATCATTTCTGAAAGACATAATTAAATAATTGGTAACAGTAACAGAAGAACAAATAATTTATGTAATAATTGTCTATAGTTTTTCAGTATAATTATGCATTTGGTAATATGGAAGATATTTTGAGATCTTTTGCATACAGCAAATTTATATTGTATTACTTAATCCTGTACTGTCTTACAAATATTTACTATTTGTTTATACTATTAATGCATAACATTTTAACCTTAGTTTTATTATCAAAGACATTGTTTTCAATATAATTTCACACTTGTTCCTTTTTTTTTTTTTATCATATCTGTTTTCTTTTAGCTTGTTCCATCATTTAATAAAATTGCTTAATGACTTTCAATCATCCTTTTTAGAAATAAAAGCAAAAAGTTTGGCATATTTTTCTTAAAACAAAATCNATAAAATTATATTTCTAAATAAAAAAAATTTTTTAGTAATCAGACTATTAAACAATCAAAAAATCAAAAACAACAAATTTAATAATTTAAAAAATAATTTTCTTACTTACAAATCATCATAGGCCGCATAATTAAACAATTACAAGTATTTCATTACTTATTTAAGCAAGTAGAAAATTATTATTAAAAAATTCAGTATTTCAGATAATTCAAAATAGTTATGAAAAGTAAATAAAATGTATCTTTTGAAATCACTCTTCTCTATTATGCTGATATTCTTTCTCACTTCTAATCAAACTAAATATTGATATATTATCATTGATATACTCTTATCTTAATTTAACTCTTACTCTTAATTTATCTTCATTGTAAAAAGGAAGCTTTGAGATAAATCTCTTAATTGTTTCTTTCAAACTTGAAATGTTATATGTTTGAAAGATATAAAGTTACAAAATTTTCATAGTTAGACATTCTTAAGTTACTTCTGACAATGGTATTGGTAAATACTAATGTATTTATGAATAATTTCTCTATTTCTCAATATTAAATGCAAAATTATATTTAGTTACATTATTGTTATCAAGCATATAAAAATTTTTTTTTGGTTCAAAACTAATTTTTTATAATTAATTTAATAATTTAATGTAAATTTTAAAAATATTCTACTTATCATTATTCCTCATTTTTCTATTGATGTCTTTGCATTCTTAATAACTACATAGTTATTATTATTATTTAACAATCAAAACGTTTGAGTCTTTTTGCTTTATTTAGTTTAGCCTCACAGAATAAAGTCTAAAAATTTGTCTTTAAATTTAAAAGCTGTGAAATTATTGACTGAATACAATTCAAACAGTAAAAGAATAATTGAGTTCATTATATTTCTTAAATAATGTGATTTTTAAGTATACAAAACTAACAAAGTAGTAACAGACTTTATTCGGGATATAAAAACATCTTCCATCTTCAACAATAATATACTATAACAGATATAAATATTCTGCAATAATAATAATCTTTATTTAATAATAATTTTTATTTGGCATAAAAGGCTTTCGCCTGTTACAAGGGCGTTTGATTTTTAAAAACGCGTATTAACATCTTACATAATCACATCTTAACAACACTGATATATTCTATTTACAGATCTATAGAATTACATTAGTATTTTGCAATAAAACTATTATTAACTACTAATTATTTTTACCAAACTAATTTTTAAATAGTTTAAGAACATTTTTGTAATACTTAAAATTTTGAGTACAGATAAATATTTATTTTTTTATTTTTTTGTGGTTTTAGGCTCTTTACCACTCAAAGAGCACAAAAAGGCCATTAAGGTAAATATTTTAAAATGATAGTATGTGAATCATTCATGTTTTATGTTTGAAGTAAACTTTTTCTGATTTCTATTATACATATAATTTGTTATTAATTAGCTGACTGATGCATTATTTATAGTTTGTTTAATAATATATCTAATAATTATTAATAATGTTATTACATATTGACTAATTTAGAATTCTAACCAAAATACTAAACAGAATTTATTTTGTTCATTTAAACATTACTATGAATCAAAATAATTTTTAAAAAAATGCTGAAATGAGTGTAAAAGCAATTTAGAACTGTTCAGTCTACTCTAAATTATGTTTAAAGTTTGTAATTATATGAAAAAATTTAAAATGTAATCAAATTATTTCTAAAAATATAAAATTTTTGAAATACCTCTTCAAGATGTAGTTCTCTTTCCAAAACTCTTTCTCGAACTAAAAAGGCTATGAGAAAAATCCAAGCCACAGTCATAATTACTGGAAGAGTTGCTTTTAAGAAATGTCCAAATCTAGGAATAAATAAAAAAGATTTTTAAGATATTATATTTTTATAATAGTTGTTAACATTTTTTTAAATTTATTCATTAGCAGTTGATATACAGTAGAGAATTTTGATTTTAAGTTCAAAATTAACTTTTAATTTTTTATAAAAGAAACATTACAGTATGATACTTAATTTAAGAAATATTCTTAAGAAATTCCATAAGTAACGTTAACTACATACATACATAATTCAAATTGAATAAATAATTCATTACGTATATTTTATTCAAATTATTCACTTTATATTGAATCAAACAAAAACAAATGTGATTTAAATCTTTTTAAATAATATAAATCACATTTGCTAGTATTTGAAAAACTAATTTTATATTGTTCTATTTTATTCACACATCATTAAACATGAGTATCTGGGTTTTTATCCTAAATGCCATGTATTGTTTTATATGATAAATAATTTTAAATCTTAAATTTTATTAAACCTATTACATTATTTTACTATCAGGTACTATTATCTATACTCTCAAAAAATTGTTCTATTCAAATCTTCCTACATCTAATTCACATTCATGCAATTGCATGAATCTATAATACAGGTAACCCCCGTATAACACGGTAGTTACGTTCCAAAAAATTGCTGTGTTATGCGAAACAAAGAACTAGTACGAAAAGGAGGATTAGGTTCCAAAAATTAAAAAACATGCTACTATATTTTCATAATTAAGGTAAATATCTTTATTAAAATTTTCTTAAGTGATACATATTATTATAAATTTAACAATGTTTTCTTTGTCATCACTAAAAGCACTATTAACCGAGAGCGTTTTATTTTTGGCTAGTTATCGTTATCCTCTGAGCATTTTTCTGCATTATTTTCAGATTCATGCTTTACCTTTTGCAAAAAGTGTATGTAATTTTAGATTGCTTGCTTCTAGTTAAAATATCTTTATAAATTTCCTTATATGGTGCTAAGCACTTATGGAATAAGGGAAAAACATCTGGCAACACAGAATGCAGAAGCGTCGAGATCTGGCAAAATTGAAACAATTTTCGCGAAGGACCATGTGTATGGAGACGAGAAAAGAAAATTTACACACTGAAGTACTAATAGTTTACAAAAATAATAATTTTTGTGAACTATTAGTACTTAAGTATGTAAAAATTTATTACATTTCATGTTGTACGAGGGTTTTACCCATTTCTCGAACTGTGTTAGAGCGAATCCGTGCTATAGAAGTGCTGTGTTATACGGAGGTTACCTGTAATGCTAGGTATCTAAAAGATTTATTATACATTGAATCTTTTAAATATTATAATTATATTAAAAATAAATTCTATCAACTACAGGAACAACTATAAATTATATTGCAGCTAGTGGGACTCATTTCTTGTATTCTTTTATAAATTTTGATATAACTGAATATATATGAATATTGTGTAACATTGATTTTTGCTTGTCATAAAACAAGAATCAATATTTCATCAAACCTTACTTAGACTTAAAGCAATGATATTTAATTTATTCTAAATATTAAGAAAATATCTAGTGTTGTCTTGCACTTACTCATCTTTTTCATAGCATGGATAGGGAAACTGCTGCATATAAGATGATGCAGATATACTCATATTGTAATCTGTTTGTATAATAGTGATTGCTTGATCTACTAACTCCTGCAATTGTATGAATCCACGAAAATATCTAAGCTCATCTAAAAAGTTATCTCTAGGACCTGGTTTCCAAAATCTGTAATTAAAAAAATATTTTTTTAGGTTTAACTTATCACTGAATTGTCAATTAATATATAATTGAAATTTTTGTAAAACTTACTTATCACGAATTTTGCGTGTAGATGGTATATTATCTATATCCATTCTTAGTTTATATTTTATATGTGATGGCAAACGACCTGTATTCTCAACATCCCTTTTTTCTCTAGTTTCATTTATATTTAAAAATACAATAGCTAAAACATTAAAAAATATAAATAAATATTTTCACAGAATATAAAATTAAAACTATACAATAAATTAAAATAAAAGAAAGCAATACCAGCAATAAATTCTCTTCTTTCGTGCAAAACTGACGCTGCTTTTTCTAGTTCAAGTTCATTATCAAATCCAACGAATCTATTAAGTTCAAAACACTGCGACATATTTCCAACCAGTTGTACTAAGTCAAGAAGTCCGCTTACATTACTGATTTGATTTCTAAGTGAAGCAATATTAAATCCTTTTAATATATTACTAGCATCATCACCAATAACCTGAGAAATCAGAGGCTGAACTGCATCTGATTGAATCAGTTTCTGCAAAATATAGAAAACAAAAAATTAAATATTTCAAAATTACAAATGTACAGTTGATTAAATGTTATTAATATTTTCTAACTTTCATTTTCTCAAATTTATGTTCATGTTTTTGCAAATATTGTAGTCCACTTGTTCCTTCTCCCCAAGCATGTAATATATCTATAAATCTTGTAATAGAATTAAAGGTTCTGTTTAGCTGTAAAAAAAATAAAAAATTTTAGAAGATTTTAGCAAGTTTCCCAATTTTAAATTATTAATTGTTTTATACAGCCTACCTCTTTCATAATTAACTGAGTTTTTATGTTGTTGGGAGAAAATAAAATTTTTCCTCGTAAGATTGGCTTAAAGAAACCCCAAACAATAGGTCCTCCTACCATATTCATAACTTGCTCGTATCCGTGTTGACAGAAAACACCTTTAAAATAAAGAAGAGAATGCAACAGAACTGCCAAAAAAAAGTTTCTGTTTCATGGATTTTGTATTGCTTTTTTAACTTAGTAAAATTTAATAAAATTAATTATTTAAAAATTTTTCCTTCTATAAAAAAAATCTTAAACTTCAATTTTAAACTCGTGATGCATCTTAGAATTGAGGAAATATGGTATTATGTGATTTTTATTAAAATGAAATAAAAAATATCATACTTGGTAGTTCTTCCAAATCTCTTTTATCCAGTTGAGGTGCACTATGAGAAATTTGCAAGACGTTAAACTCATCTTGAAGTGTTTTCAGAGGCTTACCGCATAAAATTTTTCCAGATGCTTTCAAAGCCTGAGGTGCTAAAATACATTGTATATTAATGACAACTGTTTAATAATTTATATTTTTAATTATTTTTTTAATTAATAAAGATTCATTTATGATTTATATTTAATTTTAAATTAGTAAACAGATTAAAAATAGTTGATAAGATATAAAATTATTTATATCCTATTCAAGAAAATGGAAATTTTAAATAATTATGGTACAAAATGCTCACTTCCCAAAACACGAATTCCATCATTTGTAACATTTAGCTGCATTAAATGTTCTCTAAATTCGGGATCCAATGATTTCGTTAATTCTGAAATGTGCTGTTTTATTTTTGGTATTATGGAGGGTGCCAATTTAAGTATATTAATTGTATTTACAGCTTCATCCCAACTTAAACCTGCTCTTTGAATTAAATCTTCAATTCCCAATTTTGCAAACTGAAAAATGCCAATTTATGGTTATTGATATAGTTTTAAAAAACTTAAACATAAATATAAAAATAAGTCTCTCTTTTTACATTTCCAATTATGCGTGATAATGCGAGTTCTCTAAGCAGTATAGTTGATGCTTTAACAGCTTGAGATGCAGAAATGCTGCACAGTGTTGTACTTATTTCCTCAATAGTAATATTTGAATTTTCAACATTTAATAATTGTTTCAATTCAGCTGGATTGCAAAAAATATCTTTAGCAGTTGTTGGATTTTCATTTGCTAAAAGCTATAAAATTATTTAAAAAAAATTAAATTTATTCCTATGCTTGAACAATAAATACATTAATTTATTTTAATAAATTGTACCACAGTTAAGTCTAGATTGGCATTCATAACAGATTCCACAGCATCGTCATCAATTGCCAGATCTTTTTTTAACAGTTTCTTTAATGAGTTTGGATCAGAGAAAAGGTCTTGAACACGATCTATTCAAAATATGAAATTCAAATTAATAAAAAAACTTTTTTGAGGTGATTTAACATCAACAAATATTTTATAAACTTACATTTTATATCAAATAAATGAAGGCCTTGCAAAGATTTTAAACCTTGAATTCCTTTCAATATTATTTTCATATCATTTAATACTGGACTTCCTTCAAATACTGGTTCCAATGAGTCTATCAAACCTTGTAGACTATAAATTAAATTATATTTTTTAATTAATGTTAGTAATTATGTTTGTAAAAATTTTTAAAAATTTATGGCATTTAACTTCAAAATTGTTCTCAGTTTATAATATTTGGATACAAAAAAAGCTGAAATAGCATATAAGCAGAAGACTCCAGCTTTCTCAGAAATTTCAATCTTCAGTATAAGCTACATTTATTACTATCACAATAAATAATAATCATGTAAAAGATTTTAATATGATCTTCTTTTCCCAAATAAAACATTAAGAGTAATTTACAAATTATTTTAATTTAATTATTTGTTATTTAATAAATATATTCTATGTTTTTTTATTTTAAGATAGCAAAGATGTGTACAGTCCTGGTAGCATAGCATCATACCCCTGCACATGCTTTCAGAAGAGATTCAATAATTTACTATAAAGATTACCAAAATTATTGCTTTATCCTCCAATTATATTGAATTTTTAACATTATGAACTTGGAATACTAAAGATCAAATACCAATTGTCTCTCAGAATGGAATGAACAGACAAGAATTTTGAGTTACAGTAATGGTAATTTCTGTAACTCAAAATTCTTGTCTGTTCATTCCATGAGATTGATTGCATTAGTTTTATTGCAATATTTACAGATTTAAGTATATTACTGATATTACTTTTTAGATTTGTATATATACATTAAATAACAGAATCTTTATACTATTAGTAAAAGATGCCAATAATCCATTGTTTCTGCTTGATTGCCTCAGAAAAATTGTGTGTGTGACATAGCTACTAAAAAGCCATTTATAAAATTTGATTATTGTTAAATGTGAACTAATCAAATTACACTTAAAATACAACATTTTTAGTGTAAAATCTCATTAATTTTTTGTATTTTGTATCATGACTTTGGAGGCACTAAGGCACTAGCATGTCAAATAACTAAATATTTCTTCAAATGTATGTAATTAAACATTTAAGACAAACTTAAAATAAAATCAAAGTGGTTTTAATGTGACTCCTTTAAAATGCAACAGAGAGTACATATCACACATTGAAATAAATTTCCCAGAATCCTAGATTTTGCTTTCAAAACAATTTTGATTTATACACATGCACAATGCATTGAGTTTGAGTTAAAATGGAGTGAAAATAAAATTTGACTTAACAAAGTTTGATATAGCAAGAGTCAACTCTAAAGTTTCTCAAAAAGGATTTCCTGAAAATTTATAAAATTCAAGTTATGATAATTAATTAAACATTAAATTCATTTACATAGGTTATAGATTACATCGTGATTATTGTCATACCATATTAAAAATGTAAGGCAGATATAATTTTAAACAAGAATGTAATGATTTCTTTTGTTACTGTCATCTTGTAAAAAAAAAAGCAATTACAATCTATTTCGATTCAACATTTTTCCAATTACCATCTAGCAAAATTCTCAGTACAAAATACAATTACTTAATGAAAAAATTCATTGTAATCACTTATAATAAACATGTAAATAATTTTAAATATGGTATGAGAGAATATAAATATGTCAATATAACAACTAACTATTTTGCAAAGCATATTCCTTCATTTACTGTAATTATGAAATCCAAAATAAAATTGTTTGTTTTCATTCTAGTTTTTAGAAAGTTGTATCTGGAATTTCTTATCATTTCTGAAAGACATAATTAAATAATTGGTAACAGTAACAGAAGAACAAATAATTTATGTAATAATTGTCTATAGTTTTTCAGTATAATTATGCATTTGGTAATATGGAAGATATTTTGAGATCTTTTGCATACAGCAAATTTATATTGTATTACTTAATCCTGTACTGTCTTACAAATATTTACTATTTGTTTATACTATTAATGCATAACATTTTAACCTTAGTTTTATTATCAAAGACATTGTTTTCAATATAATTTCACACTTGTTCCTTTTTTTTTTTTTATCATATCTGTTTTCTTTTAGCTTGTTCCATCATTTAATAAAATTGCTTAATGACTTTCAATCATCCTTTTTAGAAATAAAAGCAAAAAGTTTGGCATATTTTTCTTAAAACAAAATCTTTTAAAAGATTTGTCTTAAAAATTTGATTTCCATTCATTGATTAAAATAATTTTAAATTTAAAAGTTATGAAAAAAATAGAAAATATTATTTGAATTGTTCTTTATTATAAGATATTCTTTGATTTAAAATCAAACATAATAGTAAATGTAGCATTAAAAAGTTTCCTATGAAGTATTGTTACATAAATTTTATAAATTATTTTAAATTCTTTACTATTTAACTAGTAGTTATGTTTTGTATGTTCAATTTTTAATGGTATATTATTAAGTTTGTATTCAACAATAAAATATAATAGTATTGAAAAATGTTTTATCAATTAATAAACTTAAAAATTTTATTAGCACTTAGTCTTATTGATGATAAACTTTAGATTTCATCATGAAATGTCATTAAATAAATGAAAATTATAATTATTATTATTATTAATTCAGATTCTTTAACTTTACTGAGATTAGAGTTCCAAAATTGTTTTACCTGTTAAGTAATTTTTCAACAGTGTTTTCATTGATGACTTTTGCAAATGCAGAAAACAAATCTGCAGCTAAACCAGATGTTAATCTGCTTCCAGTATCAATTAAGTTAAACAGATTATCAAGTGTAGACTGTGCATTCATGACTAGATGTTCTAACCATTTTCCACTCAAGAAATATTCTTTTTGTAATAATGGTAACTAAAACGAAAAATTTTAATATTTTATAAATGAACCATCATAAATGAAATTTGAATTTCCATAAGTTTATCATCTTTTAAATTAAAAGTCTAGTCTAATTTTGGAAATAAACATTGAACTATATAATATGATTCTGAAACAGCCAAAAAAAATATGGTACTTAAATGTAGCATTTATACAATCATAACAAAAAGTATATACCAATCATATAAATAGGATGATGTTAGGAAAAGATTCTTCATAATCATTTATAATAAATTTATAAATAATTCTAATTATTATTTATCAAAGAGTATTATATTAAATATGCCAATATATTAATTATTTTGCATATTTGTTTCAAGTTAATATATCCTTGCTTAATTAATGTAATTATTATGTATATGTATATAAAAATTTCTTACCTGTGTTTCAATTTTAATTTTATCAATACTTTGAAGAATAATTTCAATTCCTAATTTTTTGCATAAAGTGTTCATAATTAGACTTTCTTTATCAGAAGAAACTATAAAAGTTCCTTTCTTATGCTTTTCTGAACATAAATCTTCTTTCACCAAGATAAGGGAATAATTTTTATGGTAAAGCTGAAATGTTTAAAGGATTTTCAAATTTAATTTATACATGTAGTAATTAATATCGAATTATTTTATATAATATGTAATAATAAATTTGCTAAGATTGTATAAAAATTTTAAATTACAGTTGAAACCTTTTAGTCCAGTATTGTGATTCAGTAATGGTCTAGTACATTTTGAATCTAACATTATTATACTTTAAAGATTAGTCATCAAGACAGTGCTGTTAGCAGGACCAAGGCATCAGGTGACCTTATCCTAACTACTTTTAGCAATATTAAAGTTTTGGTAGTTAATAGTGATGGGTGGTTTATGTTTCATATTCAAACATAGCACATAGGAGTGTAGCAACCAATATATTTATGTTTAACTTAATATTAGTTTACATATACCACTTAAACCTCTCATTACCATTGGATACCAAAACTTTGGTATTATTGAATGTAAAAACTAAACCTGTAGAGTTGTTTATAACTGAGTTGTGCATTTTAGTAATTATTTTAAAAAATCATTACTCTTTTAAGGCTATAAAACTGTAGTTCTCTTTAAAATTTGTATAAGAAATTTGTAACATTTTAAAAATAAAAATCTAATTCCTCGCAATTAAGTCATACTTAAATATAGTGTAAATTTTTCTTTAAATTCATCTAATATATTTTTTTACACATCTTCCTTCCACAACAAACATTATTGATATGATTTTATAATGATTAATAAATGAATGAAACTATCCATTTGAAGCATAAAAACTTTTTATAAAACAAACATACTTAAAAAAGCCTGACCACACAAAACACTGAGTACCAGACTAAAAAATTCCAACTTGTATTCTTTCTTACCCAGTTAAGATTTATAGATGAATTCATCAATTTGTTTATAACATCCAAACTCAAATTATATGGAGTGACTTGCAAATCATTTTGGAACTGTTCCACATCAATTATTACTTCTGATAATCTAACAAAAGCTTCAGTAAAGAAAGGATTACAATTAGTACTTTGTCTACAAATTCAAAATAATTTATGATTTTATTTCAATAATAAATAAATACCTGGCATTTGGGGGGTAGAAAAGTCTTGAAACATTTGCCATGCACGTTGAGGTGAAGTAATGATTCCTTTTGTAGAATTACTGAATTCTTTTATTAATGATAATACATGTTTAAACAGAGTTGCATACCTAAAATTAATTTTGAAAACATATTAAAAACAAATATAAAATTTAAACTTAACTTTGAACTAAATGTTGGTTTTAAAATTTCAAATATCTTTTACTCACTTTCTAATGCTGCTGATCAGTTCTCCATTTCTAGAATTTTCTGAACATTCTTTTAAATGACGCATTTTTGATATTGGCAAAATATCGCCTAACATTTGTTGAATAAATAATACTGAATTGCCAAGTGGTTTAAATACTGACAAGCAGTCAACATCATTTAGTTTATTAGTTTTTATTTCATATATCTGAAATGAAATGATTATTTNTAGGGAGATCTTCAGTTTGTTCCCTGAAACATATATTCTTTATTCTTTAAGTACACAAATAACAAGGGAAGTCCCCAATAAAACTGATTAATTAACAATATAAAATAAATAAAAAAACAGAATGTGTAGAGTAAGATTTAAAATGTGATACAAAAAGCATTAAAAAATAATAATGAAATTAAATGAAATGTGTGGTAAAATACAATAAATAAAATATTATAAAATACAAAAACACAAGATAAAATGCAATTATGTAATGCAGAGAAGTGTTAAACAATGGAATTTCTGAATAAATTATTTTTCTGCATTTATATATTCTATTTATCAGATGCTGTGCATTTTTAAAATTTGTTTCAGAATACAAAGATGATATTTATGATGAGTTTTATCATGATATGTCTGTATTTTGGGTGTCCATGTATACATTTGGTAAATGATGGTTTATGATTATATTCTAAATGTCACTCATCATTTATCATTTGTAGCTCACACTACAAATAGATATATTTACATTATTTATAATAAAAATTAAAAAGAAAAAAGTGCTTTTTATACTAGATTTTTTGGGTTATATTTAGGCTAATAATTTAATAAAATTAGCTGATTAGGTTTCTCTTTGATTAAAAATAATGGCAGAAAAAATTAGACTTTGTTATTAATTTTATCATTTATGTATTGTTTTATTCTTAAGTAATTTTTAAAAATATAATAACACAAAAATGGAAAGGGAACTTGGGTACATTTATCAAGAGCCACAAATAATCCTTCAAAGAGCCGCATGTGGCTCGCGAGCCGCAGGTTGGCCACCCCTGCTTTATACCAAAGATGAACACCTAATGAAAAATGCAGCCAAGCTAAGTAACAATCAATTTTACTATGATAGAGAGCAAGGTGGCTTGATATAAAAGATACAAATGCACTGTCTGCATTATACAATGTTGTGAATGTGTTAATTATAAAGGAGAATTATAAATAATTCAACTAAACTTACCTTGATGTTGATAATTTATTCTCTTGTTTAAAAAGTGTCTAATATACCAACTAGCATAATAAAGAGCATTCAATGCATTTCTTCCATTTAAAGTATTATTGATGGTAGTTTCTACATCATACAGCTCATTAGCTAAACTAAATATACAATAATCAATTTAACAAAATTAGAAAATATGTTTTTAATTGATGATTTCATATACTGCAATCAGATAAATCCTACCTTGCTAACTCTGAAAGGGTTACAGCATTGTTCTCAATTGCACTGTCGAGGGTTTTGTCTATTTTTTGGTAAAGTTCTCTCGGCTGAAGAATTTCTGTTGTTTCTTTATTTCTTGATGCATTTTGCATTTCAATAAAATAACTTACAATTTCTACAAATGCAAGTGATTTTGCATACAGAAAGCCATAATTATTGTTTGTAAGCTGTTCAAACTGTTACAAAATTAATATACATATTATATATTTATTTATTCATAAGTTAANAACATATTATATAATAGTAGATATATGTAAATAGACAAAATAAAGTATATATATTAATTTAAAAATATTTAAACAGTATAGTAACCAAAACAACATTAAAAAGTAAATAAAAGGGAGTACAAAAAAAAGAAATGCTTACAGATATGATTCATAAATTAACTAAGAATTAACATTTTTAAAAATGAAAAGTTCATTAAATTTATGAAATTTGTATCTATTAAAGAATTAGCAAATAGTTTCAATTAACATGCTTTATTTTATGTGATATTTACACATTTAGGATATCCTTAAAAAGGATATATACTTTCAATGCCTTATTTTTGTTCTCAATATAATAATCTTCTAAAATATTATAGATTATTTATAGAAATTTTAGAGTACTGAATTTATGTTCATAAACATAAATTAATGGAACTTCAATTTAACAATCTATAATTTAGAGATAAGTCATATAAATATTCTTTACACTAGAAATGCTTAATTCAATAGATCTTATTTGTTGATAATAGATCTTATTTATTGAAACTATTCCCTGTTTCAAAATGAATCAGTTCTATACAGTTATCATTTTGAATATTCAATTATATGAATAGGATTGATATGTTATTAAATTTTTGTAACATTATCACTTATATTCTCTTATCATTTAATTAAGGTATGTACAATTTATAACCAAGAACTAATTATTTTAATCATTTAAAGAACTAGTTCTTAGTCTTAATCTAATTTAGTTATATTAAGCAAAAACAAAATCAGAGTGAAATATAGAAATCAGTATCATTCCTAACTTCAATTAGTTTTCAATTTTTCACTAAATATTTTTACATTTATAAATAGAGTACTGGAATATAATTAATTAATTATAAATCATATTTAAAAAAATATATATAATACGTACAAAGAATTAAAAAGAGAAGGAACTAAAGATTCAACGGCTTGCAGAATTGGTTTCCAATATTTTGTTTCACCTCTGTAGAATCCTAGTTGAGNGCAGTTTTCGATGAGTCATATCATTCTTAACTTGGACGGAAATTAAATTTGTTACAACGTTGCACTTAATCTTTCATATTTGTTGTTAGTAATTTAAAAGACATTTTGAAACACATACGGAACGATAATAATTTTTAAAAATATAATAACACAAAAATGGAAAGGGAACTTGGGTACATTTATCAAGAGCCACAAATAATCCTTCAAAGAGCCGCATGTGGCTCGCGAGCCGCAGGTTGGCCACCCCTGCTTTATACCAAAGATGAACACCTAATGAAAAATGCAGCCAAGCTAAGTAACAATCAATTTTACTATGATAGAGAGCAAGGTGGCTTGATATAAAAGATACAAATGCACTGTCTGCATTATACAATGTTGTGAATGTGTTAATTATAAAGGAGAATTATAAATAATTCAACTAAACTTACCTTGATGTTGATAATTTATTCTCTTGTTTAAAAAGTGTCTAATATACCAACTAGCATAATAAAGAGCATTCAATGCATTTCTTCCATTTAAAGTATTATTGATGGTAGTTTCTACATCATACAGCTCATTAGCTAAACTAAATATACAATAATCAATTTAACAAAATTAGAAAATATGTTTTTAATTGATGATTTCATATACTGCAATCAGATAAATCCTACCTTGCTAACTCTGAAAGGGTTACAGCATTGTTCTCAATTGCACTGTCGAGGGTTTTGTCTATTTTTTGGTAAAGTTCTCTCGGCTGAAGAATTTCTGTTGTTTCTTTATTTCTTGATGCATTTTGCATTTCAATAAAATAACTTACAATTTCTACAAATGCAAGTGATTTTGCATACAGAAAGCCATAATTATTGTTTGTAAGCTGTTCAAACTGTTACAAAATTAATATACATATTATATATTTATTTATTCATAAGTTAATGGTTTATTTGAGTAATATTATTAATATATTAATCCTAGTTTTATGTTATTTATTAGGAAATTTCACAATAAATTAAAAATTAGTCACATATATTGATAATTTGACTAATAAATAGCATAGAATATATGAGAAAATTACTCAAATTTTAAATTTCTCAAAATGAATGTATTTTATAAACTTACTAAAAACTTGACTAATTATATATATATATATATATATATATATATATATAAAACAGAGGGAAAGTAAGGCAATCGATCAAAAAATGATCCCCCAAAGATTAAAGATTTTTATATAAATGTTGAAAAATGGTATTTTTCTGTATGTATAGACAATAATGTGTGAGGGGACATAATTTCGTTCACCCTGTTTAAAGCTTAATAACTCCAGTGCTTTTCGTCTAAACTTTCTGAAATTTTGCAGGGAGGTTTGGTATTAGGGCTATTAATGCTATTAAATTTTGGTGGTTTAAGGTCAATGGAGATAAAGAATGGTCATATGTCATATCTCAAGTAGGGTCAGACTTAACAACAATTTTATACGTCATTAACATTTATAATTTTTTATAAACCCATCCCTACCTCAAAATTAAGCTTTTTGCCATTTTATAATAATTAAAAATATATTTATTTAAAATTCAAAATCTAGAGTTTCTGCATTCAATCAATTGTGCATATGATTATATTGATAAATAATTTTTTCAAGTACCATTATTTCAAGCAGAAATCCTATGGAGTTATCTATGGTGTGGGTAATGAAATAGTGTGGATTATCTGTTGATTTTAATTTGCAATTACAAACTCATCAAATAACTTTTCCTTTGTCTNATAGAAATTTTTAAAATTAATTTGATTTAAAAATTTATATCTTAAGAGAATGTAATAATTTCCATTGAATTCAGAACAGAAAACTAACACATTCTACAGTTTGATCTTTCTTCACAAATTACAATGTCATAAAAGAAATAAATAATATACTAATATAATATCCAATGTATGTACATTATGTTCTACATGAATGCCTTTTATTAGTATAATATGTATTTCTATGGCAAGTATATTTATATTCAAATTTTTCTTAGAACAATGCATTAATTGTGCCATTATAATTTTTATCAAAAATTAATGTCAAGCAAAAACAATTATTTTTCTTTTCATTTGGTAAATCTTAACATAATTTATTGCATTTTGTAGTGTATTTTTAGTTGATTTTAAACTGGAATATAAATTCAAGAAAACCAGTTACAGGTAATCCTTGATATACATTGTTTCCATCAGTCTGGGTTTCAGTTCATGCAAGTTTTTTTCTGAAGAAAGTTCAATGTTGCCAGTTTGACAGAGACCAGAGAGGATCTTATTTGGATAATTTAATATCTGTCTTCACATTTAGTGTAATTTCTGCAAACATTTCTGCTTTAATTCTTCAGCTTTTCCAGAAAACTCAATGAAAGAAAAAAGAAGGCAGTAACTATATAAGTGATGTTTGATAAAGTTTTCAGTTGATTTTTTAAATTTTTTACTTCATGTTTTTTGGGGCTACTTATAGTGTTCACTTCATTTAGCCAATATCAAGTATAAAATTTTAAATGATACTAGATGCTAAATTTCTTCCCACAGCTCAGTTGCCCTTAATAAATTTGTAACAAATGAATTTAGCCTAAAATAAACAAGCAATTATTTATTGTGAAATCGTCACAATGCCAGGCTGCAATTTTTAAACATATTTTTAATAAATTTAATTAAAAACATATGCCTTTCACCTCAAATTATTATTAGTGGCATCATACATCATACTTTTCCTGTTAGCAATAGTCATGTTGGTCATCTATCTAATGCCTTTCAGGAGAAAATTTTTGAATTGAAATAATGTGATATCCAGTTTGCACTGAAAGTTCATACCTAGTTAATCAGTGCATCCAACCTCTCTTTCCATATCTGGTCTCAGCTTCCATCTATCTAACACCATTCTCAAGGTTATGGAAGGACAGACATACAGATTGATAATAGTGGGAATTTATAGGTCTACAATTTTTCAAATTGCAGCCCAAATACCCTAACAGAACATAAAAGAGCAGAATACAGTGGGTGATCAATTAACAAACATAATCTATTCCAAGAATATGTTTGCTATCCAAATTGTTCATTAACCGATTTACTATAGATTTTTATGGTAATTTGATTAATTCGTTCCGGAGACCCCAAAAAATAAATGAATAAATTATATACTTCCTTACTACATTTATTTACATGTAATAACAAACTAAAAACAATTTCTCCATTTTTTATGATTGGCACATCTTTGTTTCTCATATGAGATTTTTGTTACTCCTTTATCTGCTTCAGTCTTTTTGATTATATCTTTTTTAGCTAAGATTGTAGCTACTGTAGACCGGTTGAAGTCATCTGTCTGCAATATCAGACATCTTCTGCCCACTCTCTACTTTGGCTATTCTCTTGCTTAGTTTCTATAGTGAACACAGTTCTTGGATGGCTGGATGGTCAAGGTAGCAGCCTACTGCTCTGAGGGACTTGGGATAGAATCTGGATGGGTTGAAAAATCCCTAGGAATTTTTCAGGAGGTAGTCTGACCAGATATGTTGGCCCCCTCCCTCACCACTTGGCCACCCCATTGTGCACCTGGCTGAACCGATAATGGGCCTGCTAAAAGAGGCCCTCTTAGTGCACAGGATGGAAAGAGTTAAAAAAAGAAAAAGAACATAGTTCTTGAGACTCCACTCATTTTAGGCCCCACAATATTATTAGTTTTTAAGTAAGAAGTTAAGAAAAGCACTTACAAAAATTCAGAAAACAGAAATTAACTAGTGCAAGAAAAATTATGTATACAACTGTAAAAGTCTCATTCCATAAACCATGTATAGATGCTATTGAAATATAGTTTTACAAATCTTTCTTCTTGTGTTTGTTCTGTCAGGTGTTTGTTATCTGAACACGTGTTTGTTGTCCAAACATAAAAATCTTTGGCAAAAGTGTTCATTATCCAATTTGTTCGCAGTCTGAACTGTTCATTAACCGATCACTCACTGTATAAACAATTATGTTTTCTCTAATCTTAGTAACGACATTTGATTAACATTAAAAAGTGTATTATCAAATAAATATTATGAAATAACAAATGTAAAATGGAATTTTCTTACACATTGTCTGAAAGTAATAAATAATTAATTTTTTATACATGAAAAATTTGAAAAATCACCATGTATATCAAATATCATAATTTATGTGTAAAATATTATTTATTATACTATAATATGAATGATAATAGATTAAATATTAATAACATTAAGCCTTGGAAAATTTGATTTAAAAAATTTAGCGTTAACCATACAATATTCATAGTGTTAATCTTTTGATATATCGGGTATTTGATAAATAATTAACCATTATATTCAACTGGCTGTAAATCTTAAGTTAAATTTCTTTTTTACATTTTAGAATAGTACATTTCAATAATTTTTCATTCTTAATTAAATGTCATTATTCAGTAAACATATTTTAATATACAGTAGAACCTCGATTATCTGGACTAATTGGGGATGAAGGTAGTCCGGATAAGGAAAAATCCGGATAATCAAAACAAATACTTTAATTTGTATTTTAATGATAATACAACATGTTTTCTTTTTGATGACATATCAGTAATATTAAAAGTAAATACTGTATTTAAACTGTGATCAAATTTTCAAGAAACAAATGTTTGTATTGAATTTGGACTACTACTGACCAACACTAACAGACTACCTATTATAATAATAAACAACGCTTTTTGCCCATGACTGAAAATTAGACAGAGTTAGATAACCCAACAAATAGGGTATAACATTTTTTGCAGGGCTTATTAAATTAAAGACAAGAATTAAAGAACATATATATGCCATCAAAAATAATTTGATATCATCATCAGTGGCACAACATTGCAACACTGAAGGATGTGAAATTTTAAAAGACAGCATCAAGTGTATTATGACAGAAAACAATCAACTAAAAAGAAGACTACAGAAACACCTAGAAATTCTGAAGATACAGGAAGACATCAGAATTAATAACAACACGGGACTGAAGCTACATGAGGGGTGGGTTGACATTGTTTACACTTAACCTTGAAACAGATGCTGAACAGATGTAAGAGTATAGGCACATCACCTTGTAAAATGCAGATGGTCAGTGCAGTTGTCTTCACAATAGCTTATAGATTGGATGTATTTTGTTCTGTTAAAATCTGGTGACCAATTGGTTTAATAAGAGTAAGTTCAATGTTAACCTCCCTTTTATTTATGGTTTAATATACCTAACAATATTTATTATTAATAATGTAACCGTCTACCAGAATTTGGAAAATGTAGGAGAAACTAAGACATTTACTGGTGGAGTTAATATGTCATACCATATGATCATTGTATTCTGATTTATACTTGATAATTTAGTTTAGTGTATGTGTTACATTGAGAAATTGTAAATGCAGTGCACTGCATACATGGGTTATCCCGGTGTATAACCCGTATGCAGTGTATAACACCGTAACAAATACAAAACCAATAACCTGTCAGGTTATTGGTTTTGTATTTGTTACGGTGTTACCATGTGTTTGTAAGCTGAAGAGGGGTCCTTGTACCCGAAATGCATACTTACCTAAGTTTGATAAGTGATTATTAAAGACCACCTTTTTTTTATAAAAGTTCTGGTCCTTCTTTCAGTCAGCCTTGGTGTGATAAGCCCTGCAAAAAATGTTATACCCTATTTGTTGGGTTATCTAACTCTGTCTAATAGACTACCTATTGTTTAAAAGGCCCTCTGGTAGCGCAAGAAGACTGATTTTATAAAATAAAAAGCAGTTGAAACTGCATTTTTATGAATAAAAATTTGACAAACTATTTATCGTTTTATGACGAGTAAAATTTTTTTGTTGCGTTCGCAGCTTTTAAGTAATGCATAAACCTTCAAAACGCGTGGCCCTTCGGACCGCCAGGCAGTTCCAATGCGGCCCAATAAAGACATTTCACAAAGCCGTAAATCTTTATACATATTTTATTTTTGAGTTATACGAAATATTTTCAAATACTTGGAGATGTGTGAATGAGGAAGGATTTACTAAATAAAGTTGGAGTTGTGACTCAAAGGATTATAGACCCAAATTCAGGGAAAGGAGGAAAAGGAGAGAAAGGACAAAAGATAAAAAGTAGTGAGAAAGGTTAAATAGATCTTCTGTTATGCAAATAGTTACCCTTAAATTTCCAACCTTTCTCACTTCTTTATCTTTTGTCCTTTCTCTCCTTTCCCCGCATTTGAGTCTATAATCCTTTGAGTCCCAACTCCAGCTTTATTTAGCATTCCTTCCAGCATAGCAAGATTCGGCTACTTTGTGCCAAATTTGGCTACCCTTTTTTTAGTTTGGCATTAAAAATATCATTTGGCACATTGGCTACTTTTTGGGTCACATATTATTTATAAATATATTAGTCAAATAAAAATGCACTATAAAATGGTGTTTTGTTTTGTTGTTTTTTTATTAATTAGAAACCAAAATAAAACAAATATTTGTGTTTTTCAAATAATTTTTGTTTGTCTCTATTATTTCTAAGTAAAAATTGAAAGTGTCTGTAGAAGTAATTTTTTAAAATATCTTTTTTCATGATAGTTTTAATACTTATTACTATAATCTATCTAGACATGTTAAACAATCCTTAAATATACAAGTATAGTTAAGAATTGGGCCACAAGTATATATATAATATACTTGTAACCCAAAACTCCATGACTTCTTTCAATGTGGTCCAGAGAAACAAAAAATTTGGACACCCTGATTTAGAATGTTTCTTTATCTAGTTTTTAATTTGCATTTATAGAGACAGTTAATTATAATAAATTTATTTTCAGAAAAGTATTTTGTATAATTATAGTTAGCAGGTATTATAATTAAACTTTTCCATCTGTTGGAATTAGTTAGTAACATCAGAAAATCAGCTTTAATTTGTAGTGTAATCACTCATTATGCTACAAATTAATGTATTTAAGTAAGCGTGAATCATTACATTTAATAGATTCATTTTTATTTTGCTTTACAAAACAAAAAGCATTTGTGGAAAAAACATGTAATGGTAGAGTAATGGCAATTTAACAAAACTAAAACTTCAATTATTTTAAAACTAAAAACAATGATTCCATAATTATTCAACCATAAATAATGAGACTCAAACATAGAAATGTAAACTGTTTACTACATGAAACATCTTTAAACCATCCTAATTCATCAAACTGAGAGGGTTTGAATACATTTCTAATAATCAAAAGGCTTTGTAAACTTCTATGTGAGTCTGTTCTTTCTTTATGATTGAAATTCAATTCATTAAAAAGAAACTGTGATTCATTATAAATTCTTCAATGCAGAAATTTATTTCTGCTATTATAAGGAAAATAGTATTCAAAGATCATTCATGTTAAATTTTAGTTCACAAACGTTATATTTTTTTCTGTGTTAAATATTAAATTTTTAAGTTTTTACTTATTTTAAAATAAAAATCTAATGAAGTAAATTCTACCTTTTTAATTAATATCTTCAAATCTAATTTTCTTGATATATCTTGATAAAATCTTGTCAAATTAAAATGTGGATATTGACAGACAAGTGTTTCAACATCTGAAGAATAATGATTATTTTAATATTTAAAAATTATTTATATATTGAGGACTTAAAAAATCATTTTAATAAAATACCTGGCATTCTTGTTATGACTTGATCTATCAATTTTGCAATAGCACTATCTTTTTTAGAAATATGGAAACGAGAGCAAGCATGATTATTTCTGGAAAATGTTTTAAATTAAACATATTTATTTATTTAACAATTTCAAATAAATGAAATAAATTTAATTGATTTTAAATAAATTTAAAAAAATTAAATTACATAAGTTAAATTATTAAGCTAAAATCTACTAAATTAAAAGTTATGATTAATACTTTAAAAATTATATTTTCAATTACATAAGAATTATTATTTTGCTTTATTTTCAAAAATTTCTACATAAAATAAAATTTTGATTTATAAATTTTATTTATTGAATTTGAATGAAGAATGCTTGAAAATTGTTAAATATTTCTTTAAGAAGAGAATTCATATGTAAATAAATAAACCAATGAAATATTCAAAATAATCAAAAAGTGAGTTTAATACTTGTGATTATTAATGGTGTATCAATTATTTGATATTGATTGTAGATAATTAATTATAGAAACAGCATAATTAGTTGTATATTTCTAAATCTTGATACAATTAATATAAAATTTACCATGAAAATGTATTGTATTTATTAGTATCATATAAATGATGATAATTATTTTATGTTTTGAAATAAAATCCACATAAAATATTATTATCTGGAATTTTTTTGAAATTTGCAGAATTTTTAGTTATCTGAAGATGAAATGCTGAAATAGATCAATAATTTCTTCTTTTAATACATAATATAAGTTTTTATAAAAATACTTAAGTTAATTTGACTTGTTATTAATTTAATGTTTTAATTTTTACAATATTACAATCCACATTTTAAGTTTTAATTTATTATAACACTATATTCTGTATTTTAAAATTAAGATAAATCACAAATTAATCTAATGATTACAATCATTAAAGTTTTTCTTAAACAATCTGTTAGATTATGTTTTTTTTTTTTTTAATTTAAATTTTATTGTGATAATAATTCAAGTTTGTTGATAAGAGTAACTCTTACCAAAACTTATAAATTATTTAATTGGGAATACAGCTGCTAATGCTTACTTAATATATTAAAACATTAATATTTTAAATTACATGAACATATTATATAATAGTAGATATATGTAAATAGACAAAATAAAGTATATATATTAATTTAAAAATATTTAAACAGTATAGTAACCAAAACAACATTAAAAAGTAAATAAAAGGGAGTACAAAAAAAAGAAATGCTTACAGATATGATTCATAAATTAACTAAGAATTAACATTTTTAAAAATGAAAAGTTCATTAAATTTATGAAATTTGTATCTATTAAAGAATTAGCAAATAGTTTCAATTAACATGCTTTATTTTATGTGATATTTACACATTTAGGATATCCTTAAAAAGGATATATACTTTCAATGCCTTATTTTTGTTCTCAATATAATAATCTTCTAAAATATTATAGATTATTTATAGAAATTTTAGAGTACTGAATTTATGTTCATAAACATAAATTAATGGAACTTCAATTTAACAATCTATAATTTAGAGATAAGTCATATAAATATTCTTTACACTAGAAATGCTTAATTCAATAGATCTTATTTGTTGATAATAGATCTTATTTATTGAAACTATTCCCTGTTTCAAAATGAATCAGTTCTATACAGTTATCATTTTGAATATTCAATTATATGAATAGGATTGATATGTTATTAAATTTTTGTAACATTATCACTTATATTCTCTTATCATTTAATTAAGGTATGTACAATTTATAACCAAGAACTAATTATTTTAATCATTTAAAGAACTAGTTCTTAGTCTTAATCTAATTTAGTTATATTAAGCAAAAACAAAATCAGAGTGAAATATAGAAATCAGTATCATTCCTAACTTCAATTAGTTTTCAATTTTTCACTAAATATTTTTACATTTATAAATAGAGTACTGGAATATAATTAATTAATTATAAATCATATTTAAAAATATATATATAATACGTACAAAGAATTAAAAAGAGAAGGAACTAAAGATTCAACGGCTTGCAGAATTGGTTTCCAATATTTTGTTTCACCTCTGTAGAATCCTAGTTGAGATGAAGCAAACTTATCTACCAGTGCCAAAATTATTTTTTCTAAAATATTATATAATTTTATTGATGCCCAATCATTGTATTGATTCCTTATTGTGTAATTCATGTTCAGCTATGGAAGAAAACAAAAATAAAAAAATATTATATAAACATTCATTAACTTAAATACTTTACTTCAACTTTACTTCAAATTAAACTAATTAATTTCATAATATTTTCATTTATAAAAGTCATCTTATGTTTTATAAACTAATGCTTCATTTGGATCAAACTTTTATTTTATGCTTAATGTTTTTAGAAGATTGATCCATCTTTAGGATTCTATTCTATTCTAGAATTCTAGTTATTCTAAAATTTATATATTTAATCTATCTCCTAAAGATAGATAAAATATATTAAATTCTAGAGTAAAAAAGTATTAAGTTTAATATATATCATATATTAGAAAATTAATTATTAAATGAAGAAATTGATATATATATTTAAATTGATACATTTATTGAATTCATAGATAAATGTTATAACAAACACGTTTTTAATGAATTAGAAAGAAAAGTCTCAAGAATTACATAATTTAAAAACTTTAGTTGCTTTTGTTCTAAAATTTGTGCTATGATGACTTACTAAGATAAACTAAATTTTTCTATTAATAATTAATAATAGTTATAGTTAATGAATTAATAACAAATATTTATAAATTTAACTTTCATTAATTCCATTTTATTCATAAGTAATATCTCATCATAAACTTACTTAAATACTACAATAATTTTTCAAAATTAGAATGCAAAACAATTTGGATATTGGTTCATCAATAAATTTATGAAAGATTAATTATTTAATTAAAGTAAAAAATATTAACATATATTTTACATTATTACAGTAAAAAAACTAAATTCTGGATGCTATATAACTTGTTTTTTGTTCACATATTGTACTACAATATTGTAATGATTTTCCAACCTCAAAAATAGTTTTTAGAAATGTTAAAATTGTCTTGTAATGTATCCTTTAACATTATTTATCTTACAAATTAGTTTCTTTTTGATAAAAATAATATAAAAATAGTTATTTCTAGACCTTGATATAATTAAACTTTATACTGTATAATTTGAGTTATACAATATCTATACTATTGATAAACTATCAAATAATTAAAAATATATTTATTTAAAATTCAAAATCTAGAGTTTCTGCATTCAATCAATTGTGCATATGATTATATTGATAAATAATTTTTTCAAGTACCATTATTTCAAGCAGAAATCCTATGGAGTTATCTATGGTGTGGGTAATGAAATAGTGTGGATTATCTGTTGATTTTAATTTGCAATTACAAACTCATCAAATAACTTTTCCTTTGTCTAAAGTCACTGAGAGTGTCTTTAGAAAATGTTAAAAAAAAATTCTTTGTGCACTGAAGACATATTCATTTGCCATCCCAATTTTCCCTTAAACCACTGAAGGCACATATACTGCATTAATTCATACTTCAATTGATATTACTATTATAGATTCCTACTTGTATCTTGAAAGTTGATAAGTTTCTAGTAGTTTCCCTCTGAATATAAATAAGTTATCTCAGAGAACTATTTAGAAACTGACTGCTAATTTTATCATATTTTACTTCTCCATAGTAAATAATATCTGAGCAATTAAATCTCAAACTCATACCATTGAACATTATTAACATTAAAAAAATTAAACAGAACATAATTTTAAAGTTTATTTTAACAATTATCATCATTATTAGCAGGCATGTGGTGCAATCACACCATTAATATGCACATAATATAGTCTGTATTAAATTCCTTTTTGTGTTTCAATATGAATTGTATTTGTATTCATTACATTGAAATAATTATAAAGATCTTTAGGGATCAGTGTATGAAATTGTCCATACATTACATAATGCTATTTTTATACTCTTGAATTACCATTCCATCCTCCCAAAATGCTCCATAATGCATTGCACATATCTACCCCAAAATCAAAATTATGTAATGCATATCCTCAATCGATCTCTTTAATTGTACTCAGGAATAATATATAGCAAAGGGTATTGAACATTAAATTATTTTATTAATTACATACAAAGCAGGGATAGACACAGTATGGTTATAAACAAAACAACAATTTAATATTTGGGATGGTAACTTCTAAACTGCATCTCAGCATCATACTTTCGATGGCACTCAATTGGTGCAGGAGGTGCAGATCAGTAGCGTAGCGTAGTGGGGCGTCAGGGGTGGCCAGCCCTGAGGGCACTTTTTAGGGGGCGGCAAAATTTCACAATAAAAAATAATAATAATATCTTGTAAGAATTTGAACCATTTTATTTCATAATTTCGTCCACCTATGACTCGGACCGATTGAAATGAGCATGGAATAGTGTTACTATCCATCTGGATAGTCCGGAAATCGACTTGCCATCCGGGGATGTTGTGGGCCCTGTTTTTTTTTCTTTTTTTGCTTGTACGATCCTCCGCTATCCAATACAGCTAGGTCACTTGCGTTACTCCTATCCAAGTCTCCCTAGTCACTAACTCTAACTGATTTAGAACCAGCATGCACTGCACATTATTCTTCACATTGCAAAATGACATTACGCATGCGTCAGGAACTTCTATTCGAACAAACCTCACCTGCCTTCCGAGTCAGCGATTTTAATAAGGTGGCAACACTAGCACGGAATTTTTCATTACTTATTCTGTGACGAAACTGAATTTTAGTCTTTTAAATTGAGATACCTAAATAAGGGGGGGTGAAAATTTCCTCCGCCCTGGGTGGCTGACACCCATGCTACACCACTGGTGCAGATGCAACAAATCTGTTCTAGCAATTTTCTTTGGAGGTAAATGCTAGTGTGGGCTATATGCTACCAAGAATTATCTGTATGAAATTATGGTAACTGTGATCAATATAAACGTTAGTGCAACCTATAGATAATGTTTCAAATTGTTAAAAAATTTAAATATTAAACAATATTTTGTAGAGAATTAGATAAACTTCACATAAAAGTTTAGAAATTTTAGAAATTTCAAAGATAATAAGTTTTAAAATAAAAATATTCTTACATAAAGAAAAATAAATAATACTGCTTACCAAAAGATGGAGATTATCCACAATATACATTGGAGTGGATGTATGTAATCTACTGAGTAAATTAAGCTTTTCTTGCCATAATTTGGGAGATTGGTGACAATATATATTCATAATAGAATCATAAGAAACAGATTTNTAATAAAATATAACAGTTGAGTGCCATACACATAGTTTTAAATGTTGCTGGGAAAATTAATCAACTCGTTGCTGGATTTTTTACTATAACTATTAATTCATCAGGAATCAGAATGGTTCAAACAGAATAAATCTATATAAATAAAAATGTAAATGTTCGTTTGTTCAAAATCTTAATCTCCAAAAGTTCTTAACCGATTACTTTGAAATTTTGACACAACATTGCATTCAAATACGCATTTGTTTTTATATTATATAGATGTTGAAATTCCCCCTGCGGGGGAGAGGGACAAAATTAAGGCTTACTGTGAAGAAAGCTTCTATTATACTATTTTAGATGTGGTCTTATGTTTTTGATTGCATTTTAATAGGGTATGTCGAAAGAATGTACACTAAAAAGAAATTTTTTGAATTTCCCCCCCATGGGAGTGTTATACATTTATAATAGATACATTTTGAGCCATAGCAATGTGTGGCTGGATACAGCTAGTATCTTATAAAAATAATGAGTAGAAGTGAATGAAAATTCAAATTAAAGTTTTCAATATAACAGATTAATTTGTAATAACTTTTACATCTTTAAATTGTGGAAATTTATAATTTTAATGTAGTATTCTCTGTTACCAAAAGTTTTATGATGGTTATATACAGCCATTGAGAGCTTGTATGAGGCCTGGGTTACAGCAGATCCTCTTTTGCCATTTTTTTAAGTACTTGATTATTTAAATTAGTTTTTCTCATATTGTAAAATTTATCTTCAGTTTATAAATTTTATTCTAAAGTCTTGATTCCACCTGTAGTGAGTAATGGAGGCAGTTACTATGGAAATCCCACAATGTCCTCTAGCAACTCATACAAAAATTCCATGTTGAATATTTGTTGCAGCTGCTAAGATTTACTGCCACTTTCAATATCCAATAAAATTCAGTTCAATATAGTATGTATCTGTCATAAAAACATTAGAATCTATATCAAGTTAGAAAATGTGATAGTGCATCCGATTGACTGATATATTACATTTCAATTGGCTCCTTTGCATAGCTGCAAATACCACCTCTTCCAATGGAAAAAAGTTCTATAACTTTGCCACTGAATATTCACTGCCATCACTCACCACCATCACTGAAAACTTACAAATAGTATCAAGACTTAATTCACTATCATGTTAAGAACCATCATAACAAATTTTAATTTATAATACAAATATTTATTGCATGAACAACTAAATGTGATAATTTATTCTTTAATATTTAGTCTGAAATATCTTTTTTTATTATGAAATTTTAAAAATATATATGACTAGAAAGTAACAATCAGTATTAAAATATTAAATTGTTCCTGCTTTTGGATTGTTTCATAACTATATACAAAAATAGCCAATATTCCTTTCATAAATTGTAAATCAAAAGGTAAATAGTATGGTATAGTATGTAATCTACTGAGTAAATTAAGCTTTTCTTGCCATAATTTGGGAGATTGGTGACAATATATATTCATAATAGAATCATAAGAAACAGATTTCAACCATTGATGTTTATTTGATGCTAAGTCACATAACTGTCTTAACTGCTCACGATTTTTATTAAAATATTCACTCTGCAAAGCAATAACAACAGTATAAACATAATTTATTACTAAAGAGAACATAAATATGAATATATACTATACAACTTAAAATGAAATTCTTCTAGATTTATAATTAATTTAGATAGATGTCTGGACTTTTCATTAAGTCCATATAATCATTTTAATAATTATTCAAGTTATATATCATCATTCTTTGCAAAATAAGAATTACTGTAGTCTACTTACAGCCATTTGAACTTCTACAAATACTATATCGGGAATAAGTGGAAACATCTCTTTCATTAATCTATTCCAGACATCAGAATTAATCATATCTTCATAAATGTTGTTTTTAAGAACTGAAAAGTATTTATCAGTATTTGAATTGTATATTTATATACAGAATTTAATCATTTTAATTTGGAAAGAAACTTTCTTAGTATTTTGTTTCAAAAATTACGTTTAAACCAAAAACAAGAGAAAATTACCTGAGTCAACAAATTTCTCAATGCTGATTATAATAACTGGTGAAAGGTTTTTTCCAATTGCATGAGTAAGCTTATTTTCCATAAAGCCATCTACTATTCTGATTATTGACAGTATTAAACTAGTAAATCTAGNGTATAAACCTAATAAAAGAAGTTTCACAAAGCCGTAAACCTTTATACATATTTTATTTTTGAGTGGAAAGGAAATATTTTCAAATACTTGGAGATGTGTGAATGAGAAAGAAATACTAAATAAAGCTGGAATTGTGACTCAAAGAATTATAGACCCAAATTCGGGAAAGAAGAGAAAGGCGAAAAGATAAAAAGTAGTGAGAAAGGTTAAATAGACTTTCTGTTAAACAAATATGGACCCTTAATTTTCCAACCTTCCTCACTTCTTTATCTTTTGTCCTTTCTCTCCTTCCCCCGCATTTGGTTCTATAATCCTTTTCAGTCCCAACTCCAGCTTTATTTAGTATTCCTTCCAGCGTTGCATGATTTAGCTACATTGCGCCAAGGTTGGCTACCCTTTTTTTACTTTGGCGTAAAAAATATCATTTGGCGCATTGGCTACTTTTTGGACAACATATTATTTATAAATATATTAGTCAAATAAAAATGCACTATAAAATGGTGTTTTGTTTTGTTGTTTTTTTATTAATTAGAAACCAAAATAAAACAAATATTTGTGTTTTTCAAATAATTTTTGTTTGTCTCTATTATTTCTAAGTAAAAATTGAAAGTGTCTGTAGAAGTAATTTTTTAAAATATCTTTTTTCATGATAGTTTTAATACTTATTACTATAATCTATCTAGACATGTTAAACAATCCTTAAATATACAAGTATAGTTAAGAATTGGGCCACAAGTATATATATAATATACTTGTNCAGACTTATGATCTGAAATATCCTAAAATAAAAAATTATTTGAAAATAATTTTTAAAACTTAATGCATATGCATTAATATATTATAAAACATAAAACTCATTGTATATGATCATATAATAAAACTTTTGCAAAAAATTCAATAAAATTTAAGTTTACAGCTTAAAGATAAATCAGTAAAGAGTACAAGAATTTTCAAAAAGTTTTTATCTGAATTTGACTCTTATTTATGTTGTTTATATATTAAAACTACTTAAATTAGCAACTGCACTGTATTTCTGAACATATTTACTTTGATTTGAAGGCTTAAAATAAAAATAAAAAATATCTTTCAATAACTAAATATGTTAATCTGTAATATGTTAATCACAGGATACAAATATTAAAGCAAATTTCATAGTCCACTTCCATTAGATATTGCAGTTCTGCAAAAGATCATTGAACAATGTTCCAGTATAGTTCAAAAGTTTTTAGTGTATTTGGCATTTAGGAATCTATTATAGTCTGACTAGATAATTGATTACATGTGACATAAACATATTCCTTATTCCACAATGTACTTATAATAAAAATTAGCTGCTATTTATGTTTTGTTAAGTCAAGAATAATATCTAAAACAATTTTGAAATCATTGTCAGTTACTTATCTGTAGGCCCATTTTCTAAAAGTGCTTTTATTTTATCACTTAGCAAATATTTAAAGTTATATTAAGCTTTAAATGAAAATGTCATATTTCAATGACTCTTGAAAAATAAAAAAAGTTTGTTCTTCTTATTAAATTTCATAATTTATTAATTCTATTATTTCAACAAAACTTTTCAAATTAATGTAATCAAAAAATAATATAAGATGCCTTAGATGCTTATTATTATCATAGTTTATTAATTAATGGCTAAAAGTTAACAGCTGAAAATAGGGGTCTGTCAAAATATATCTTTTATAAAAGAGTCTGTGGCCTTTCAAAGTTTTGGAATCACTGATCTAGAATATCTAAGTTCAATATAATGAAATTATTTGTTATACCTATTTTATATACTTAATTCTTATCTATAAATAAGGGAAACAAATCTCTTGTAATTTTTCTCCATACAAAACCTTTTACTTTTTTATTTTTTATATCCTTTTAATCTAAATGTTATATAACATTGGATGATTTCTTACAGCATTTGTTGTACAGTTTATCATCTATGGCTCAAATATTCTCTAATTTAAGTTTTACAAAATGAAATGGTGGGCACTTACATTGAATACAGAACATGTGATACCAATGCACACTTCTATTAGTTCTTGACCAATGGAAGAAGGTCAAGTTTGATCACAAACCAAACTTACTGTTATATTGTTGTAACTCCCAAAACTAAGCCATTATTTAGTAGAACGTGACTATTGACACCATGAATATTATAATGGGAATGAATAAACATGAACAGAACTTCAAGGACTATTCCAGCCTTTATTCTTAAGATAGAAATATTTTTTTTATATGTTAAATATTTTGATTTATATTTCATAAAATCAAAAACAGATCTAAACCAGATATAAAAATTAAAATTTTATTTTCAATACAAAAATCTATAAGTATATGGAAAGATGCATGCATTTTATGAAAAAAATAATTATTTTTTATTTAATAATGTAAACAGATATAAATATACATAAAACTGTCTCAAACCTCACTCAGAATCAAAATTTTTTTATTTACTATAATATTTTGAGAACACTCTTATCTTCAATGACACACATTTAAATACAAAAAACATCTGAATTCCATTTGAGCAAACAAATATTCCATTATGTAAATTCAAATAAATTCTACACAATACAGTGTGCTGCCAAAATAGAGTGAGAAAGCTAGTTAACTTAAACATTAAGAAAGAAATGAGTTCCAAGCAAGAAAATAGAAAAAATGGAGAGAATGAATGATGAATATGGTATGGCTAAATCAACAGTCAGTATGATTTAAAAAACAAAGAAGAAATAGAGTGCACAGATTCCAAAGAGAATCTTTAAATTAAGCAGTTCATGTAATAGCATGAAACAGATGGAAACTTATATACTGTATATAATGTATAAAATTTAAATGAATTTTATATTATTTTTATGTTTATATTTTTGATTTTTTATTATATTTTTCTTCTTTAAATGGTTGTTAGATAGTAACTTTGTTCTAGACTTTGAACTTGGAATGGATTATTAAACCTAAATACATATATTTCAATCTATGCTAGAACAAATAACTACTTTAATGCAGTATTTTTCAATTTTTTATTCATTGTGGACTGGTAAAATTATAGATAATTTTATGTGAATCAAGTAATTATATGCAACTGTAAATGATGCTTATTTATTATGCTTATCTAGAATTACTGTACATACAGGGTTCCTACTCAAATTTTTATTTTAATTTCCATGACTTTCCCTGACCATCTTTGTACAAATTCCTGACCTTCACATCCCTTACAGTATGGCATATTGACAAAATAAAACAGCATTTGACTTCCTANTAAACTTTAGATTTCATCATGAAATGTCATTAAATAAATGAAAATTATAATTATTATTATTATTAATTCAGATTCTTTAACTTTACTGAGATTAGAGTTCCAAAATTGTTTTACCTGTTAAGTAATTTTTCAACAGTGTTTTCATTGATGACTTTTGCAAATGCAGAAAACAAATCTGCAGCTAAACCAGATGTTAATCTGCTTCCAGTATCAATTAAGTTAAACAGATTATCAAGTGTAGACTGTGCATTCATGACTAGATGTTCTAACCATTTTCCACTCAAGAAATATTCTTTTTGTAATAATGGTAACTAAAACGAAAAATTTTAATATTTTATAAATGAACCATCATAAATGAAATTTGAATTTCCATAAGTTTATCATCTTTTAAATTAAAAGTCTAGTCTAATTTTGGAAATAAACATTGAACTATATAATATGATTCTGAAACAGCCAAAAAAAATATGGTACTTAAATGTAGCATTTATACAATCATAACAAAAAGTATATACCAATCATATAAATAGGATGATGTTAGGAAAAGATTCTTCATAATCATTTATAATAAATTTATTTTCAGAAAAGTATTTTGTATAATTATAGTTAGCAGGTATTATAATTAAACTTTTCCATCTGTTGGAATTAGTTAGTAACATCAGAAAATCAGCTTTAATTTGTAGTGTAATCACTCATTATGCTACAAATTAATGTATTTAAGTAAGCGTGAATCATTACATTTAATAGATTCATTTTTATTTTGCTTTACAAAACAAAAAGCATTTGTGGAAAAAACATGTAATGGTAGAGTAATGGCAATTTAACAAAACTAAAACTTCAATTATTTTAAAACTAAAAACAATGATTCCATAATTATTCAACCATAAATAATGAGACTCAAACATAGAAATGTAAACTGTTTACTACATGAAACATCTTTAAACCATCCTAATTCATCAAACTGAGAGGGTTTGAATACATTTCTAATAATCAAAAGGCTTTGTAAACTTCTATGTGAGTCTGTTCTTTCTTTATGATTGAAATTCAATTCATTAAAAAGAAACTGTGATTCATTATAAATTCTTCAATGCAGAAATTTATTTCTGCTATTATAAGGAAAATAGTATTCAAAGATCATTCATGTTAAATTTTAGTTCACAAACGTTATATTTTTTTCTGTGTTAAATATTAAATTTTTAAGTTTTTACTTATTTTAAAATAAAAATCTAATGAAGTAAATTCTACCTTTTTAATTAATATCTTCAAATCTAANAGAATTACTGTACATACAGGGTTCCTACTCAAATTTTTATTTTAATTTCCATGACTTTCCCTGACCATCTTTGTACAAATTCCTGACCTTCACATCCCTTACAGTATGGCATATTGACAAAATAAAACAGCATTTGACTTCCTATGCACATATGTTTTACTTCTCTAATGTTTTAATTAGTTATTTTTCTAATTAATGGTTATATATATTTTATAATTGCCAAATTATTAAAATTAAAATAAAATGTTTTATTAAAATTCTGTTATTAATCCACAACCATAAATCTACAAGGCTTTGAAAAAAAGAAAAAAATAAATTTATTATTTTTTTTATTATTCATTAACAAATTCTATATAATACATGTACAAAAGTATATATTTATTAAATTTATCTCTTAATAAATTTCCAAACTTTATTAATAAACTGGAAAAAACCATAAATTGTTTTGTTACATAATCAAAATTATTAAAATGAAAAATGATAAATAATACTATTTAAATTATTTATCATTTTTTGTGCTTTGTAAATTTCTGGAAAATTTTGTGTATGCTTGGGAGAAGAAATTTTGAGTCCTGAAAATATTTTGCACCATTTTTCATAAGTTGTATTGCACCACATTGCTTCTTGCTGTCTGCAGATGGCCACACTTAATCAAGCATATTGTCAGTAAAAAATCATCAAGGCAGCCAAGGAAGCAAATTCCCTGACTTTTTGACAATTTTTAACAAATTCCCTGACATTCCATGACTTTTTCTGAACACTAATGAAAATCCCTGTTTTCCAGGTGCATAAGAACCCTGTACATAACAAATTAAATACAGTAACTCTACATTACTACTTAAATGTCACCCATAATCAACTGTGCCAGTTTCACAGCACGGTCAAATATTTTTCTGCGAATCTATGAAAATTTTTCATGGATTGACAGTTGCAAAACACTACTATAATGAACAAGGTTCTAGAACCAATTATGTTCATTCTAGCATATCCCACTGTACATTCCATAAACAGTTTAAAAATTTTTTAAAACACCTAATAGTATAACAACAAATAGAACAATAAATAATAATAATGAAGTTATTACTTTTTGATTCAAGATTACATTCTAAATGACAGACAACACAGTATATTATAAACTTTTATCTGTTTCTATATTTATGCATTGTATATAATTCATAAAAATTATTCTCAGATTTTTTCTAAGAATTAAAAATTTTACAAAAGTATCAAGAAAAAGTTCTTTAAACAATCAGAAATTACACATACCTTTTGTTGCAGCAATATCCTTAAAGCTTTGATTGAATCAGGTGATAATTTTAAAAGAATATTCACAAAAATTTGAAGATGATGTATTTCAGGTAGTAAACTTTCAATATTTATTACCAAATTGTCATTATCTGAAGTATTTAATAATTTTTTAAATTCCAATATAATCAAATTAGTTGCATTTTCATAGTCATGCAATTTGCTAGATGTCATATTTGACATTGAAAAGATAGTATCTACAATCTCGATTGTTCTGCAAGAAAACATAGAAAAATAATAACTTCTATTTATTTTATTTCTTATATAATTTATTACAATTATTAAAAATAATAGTTTAATAAAATAATAATTTCATTAATTTAAAATATTTTTTATGTACATTTTATTAATATTTTACTCAATACAACCATCACTGCATTAAAAATTTTAATAATTTTTAAAAAAATAACATTGACAGTGAACAAGAATCAATTCTGAAAACTTTTTAAAGCTGTTTGTTTGATGGGATGAGGTAATACAAAGAAAATCTACTGGGGAGGGCTGCTCGTAAGACTTTCTACGAAAAACTGCTTCCTTTTAAGATGATGAAAACTTGGAAAATAAACTGGGAGTGTTGCCATTATTTCTCTCATGCTCCAATGATTCAATTGAGGCTTTCAAGCACTTACAGCACATTTTGATTTAAAAATTTGTTATAATCTGCATATGAAAATGTAATGGATAAATTTCTGGATCAGATTAAGGCTAAACATGTCATCAACAGAGAATGAATAGCTACTGCTTCAGAGATCAAAACCAAAATGATAAGCAAATGGATATAAGTGGGTAGAAAGAAGAGAAGCCTTTACTTGGTGCTGAGACATCGACTAGAACAAAGCAGAACAACAACCTTCACTTGATGTAGGGATGTTGTCTAGAATGAGGCAAGAACAAATAATTCAAAAACCCCAGAACAGAACAAAACTTGGAGTACAAACTCATGAGTGTTGACAATGACAGCTTTGGATCTACAACTGGCTAATATCCCCATTAGCTGTGACAGAAAATGATTACTGTTCCTAACTATGATAACAATGGCCAATCAGTTTTGTTATAGTTTGGTTCTATTTTACCTTCTGAAATTTACTTTTTTTAATTTTTGCATTCTATAAATTTTTCCTATTTAGTATACAAATTTTTCCTATTTTCTGCAATCTGTTGCAGAGCCAATCAATGCAATTCATTTTAAATCTTTCTTTGCTTTATATACACAGAACTGTCCATAAATTATGTAATGCAGATATAGGTGGGTGGGTATGCAGATAATTGTTACCATGCTTTATAAGGAGTGAGGATATATAGTCGACCACCCTATAACACTGTTGATTATTCCATTTTATATTAATTTCATGTTGTATGAGTCACTTAGATTTACAAATACGTGAGCTGTTCACAGCCCAGCACACATATTTGTAAAATCTAAGTGACTCATACAACATGGAATTCATATAAAATGGAATAATCAATGGTGTTATAGGGGGTCAACTTGTATACAAAAACTCTATGTAATGCTAGAATCTCAACTGAGAATCTCAGGTACAACAATATGAAATTTTTTGGAGTGCGGGAGACGTCAACATCGACACTCAACTCGGTATATACTGATCGGAAAGTATTCCTCTGAACTTTGAAACTCTCCCTTATAATTTCAGCCTTTTATTTTTCTGACAGAAGCAATTTTCTTACAGTATTCGCAAGACTGTCGAGTGGGCACTCATTAAGTTTTGCATCGGTTTTTATTTTCAAAAGGTGAGAGTATAATAGCAAAGGTAGAGAAAGAGAGTGGGCAGATGTCTGATGGCTGTTGGCTGTTATTGCAGGGCAGTATAGCTTGAACAGGTCTACAGTAGGCCACAGTTCAATCTTATCTAAGAAAGATACTGTATTATCAAGAAGACTCAAGCATCTTAAGGAGTAACAAAAATCACATCTGAGAAATAAAGAACATTGAAGAGTTCATAATGTAACCTGAAATGAATCTGATGACAGAAAAACACCAAGAAACTCAGCGAGATATATTTTCTTCTGAAAGAGAATCCAAACCAGGTTGAGGTTAATAGGCTTAGGGATCTCTACAATTACAATGCTATTAATTATTTCTGAAAAATCTTGCAGAGACAAAAGCAATTGACATTAGATAGATTCTTTAACCCCCACAAATGGAAAAAACATGACTAATAAAAATGCAAGACTGTGTATATATGTATTTTTATTATTACATATAAATAAGCATAGTAAGAAAGTATATATTTTTTTATTTTTTGTAGGAATTAATCAAATTCCCATAAAAACCTATGATAAATCGATAATCGGTTAACAAACAATTTGGATAGAGAACAAAGTCTTGGAATGGATTATGTTCATTAACTGATCACCCACTGTAGTATTACATAGTTTATGGACAATCCTTTACACAGTTTCATAAAAATCCTCATAATTATTTAACTGTAACAAAAACAAATATAATACATATTGAAACATAAACAGAATTTAATAGACTACCATATATATATATATATATTTTCAGCATGATTGCACTCTACATCTACTAGTATAATTAAATACAAATACAAAAATTTTCTATATATATTATATCTTCAAAACATTTTTCAAGTTTTAATATATTGTATTTTCAATGCAATTTAACATTATTGTTTTAAAAAGGGATAAGAATTTTCAAAAATATTATTATATGGATTTAAGGTAAGTAAAATTTATTTATTACTTCTCTTTGAAGTTTTAAAATATAGAGAGAAGTAAGTTAAATACAGTAGAGTTTCAATAGTTCAATTTGATTGGGACTGAGAAAACCTCAAACTATTGAGACTCTCCTAAACTTTAAATAAATTTTTGTTAAATTATTTATTACTATTTTATATAAATAAAAAATTACTTTAAAAAAATATATAAATTTAATAAACATAATCAAGTATATAAATAAAAAATAATTAAAATTAACTTACTGTTTCCATAAATCAGGATTTTTCCATATATTGGATGAAGCCAAATTAGCAATATTTAATAAATTATCTTCTACTTTTTCAATTTTTTTGAATAAATAATTTCCTAAAATAGCATGTAATAATTTTTTCACTTGTATCATTTCCATAATAGAATCATAGAATTCTTTCCAGGGAACATTTCCACCCCGATTTCGATTACGAACCAGCCCTACAAGTTTTGTAAAACTTTTTGAGATGTTATTTGCAAATTCTTCTGTGCTTAATTGACATAAAAGTAATTGAAATTCATATCTCTCATTAACATTTTTATAAGATGGAAAAACACTAGTATTTAACATATAATTTTGAGTACAAAATCCTGAAAATATTCTCTGCAATGTTATATAAGCTTTAATTTCTGGCTTATGTAACAGTAATGTAAAGTTATGAACTGTAGGCATCCAAGGAGGATCAATTGCTTTTGATGTTGAAATTTCTTCAATCAACTTAACAAGTTGAACAATATCTGAACCAAGTCCATTCCAAGATATTGGCTCTATTGGATTCTATAAATATATTTGTATTAAAATATTAATGATGTTATTAAATTGGGGTTTACATTTTATAAATATTTTAAGTACCTTAGTATTGTTGAGATTTGTTAATAACTCATAAGAAATCTGATTGAAATCATTATCACATAGTGGAGAGAGTAACTTATTCCAGTCTTCAGAATTTAATGCTGGATTATAGAGATAGAGAGTAGGTGGACCAACACACAAAAGATTAATCATTTTTGTTAAATTATATCTGCCATCAGCTATCCATTTTGAAAACTGGTTAAGAAATATAAAAATACTAAAATTAATAAATTGTTTTTTACACAATTAATTATATTCAAATATATAAAAAATAAATATAAAATATTAAATGAACTTTCTTATATTTTATATTATAATAAGTTACATTGCTATATTATATTGTTAATTTATTAAAATTATATAAAATTGTTAAATCATAGCTTTCTTACTTTACTTTGTTGTTTTCTAGTCAACATTAACTAATGCATTAAATGAAGAAATTTCGTGGATATCTTTATTAACTTAAGAGTAAGTTCATGGTATAATTATAATTAGAAAGCACTTATTATAAAACGTGTAACAGAATTATAGTCATCCATAAACATTTAATTGTTAAATAATTTTTATAAGTATATGCCAAAAAATCAAATAAAAAGATGAATTGCTAATAGCAGTGCAAGGAGTTTGTGATGCCATAAGTTTATAGTATCTGATTGTCTTGTCATGCATTACCAACTCCAAAGTATAACTTGTTAGTTTGCTATCGTAATTTAAGTATTGTGAAAACTGGAACTGTCTTATACTAAAGGACAAAAATTTTTCATGAGGAAAGGTTGAGAAGAAAAGTTACTGAAAATCAAGATAAAAGTTTATATGAAAATATCTTTTATTACCTGTGCATACAAAAGTTTACATTTACAAACTTTTTAATTAAAAAGATGTCCATTGGGTCTATAAGAAACAAAAAAAGGAGTTGTCATAAACAAAAAGTTATCTGAGAAAAGACTTCAAATCATTCAGGTATATTTAAAAATAAGTCCTATGAATTATTTAAAGCATTTATCTCAAGAGACTAGATCATCTTATGTTCTGTTCATACAGCTATGAAAAGAATTAAAGTTTAGCCATATAAAGTAAGGATTGTCCATAAACTTTTTATTTATTCATTTAGAATTTCAAATATTACCTCTTGAGTCTATAGCAAATAAATGTTCAAGATATGTTTGTTGTGATGTGTAGCAGGATATTAACAAGTACAATCAACTCATAGCATTATAAAGTCTAATTCATGACATCTCCAAACTCTTTGTGCCATTTCTCATAATTATTATTATTATTTTTTTTTTATCAATCAGCAGAATATTTCAAATGTTTAAACAAAAATGTCTTCAAATTTGTTTATATAATATAAATATTTTTTATATTAATTAAACAAAGATAAATATACTTTATTTGGTACTTGAGCAGTCCATAAAAATGTCGTTATCACTTCTGGTAACATTGGTATGAGCTTTTGAATAAGTTTCTCTGTATGTGGCATGATTGGAAGTATGCTTTCAGTTTTTGTAATATCAATGTCTAAACAAGAAAAACAATTAATTAATTGTTTTGAAAATTTATATCTTAAATTATACTTATAAGTAATAATTAATACCTTTTTTCAATTCTGCTAATTTCTGTATTGTAATCCAAATTATTGTATGAATACTGTGAAATGCAACTACATTCAATTTTTCTTTTTCCAACATTGTTCCAACATGCATAAAAACAGGTGGAATTCTGCAAAAACAAAAATAATCTGTTAAATTTTTAAAACAATATTTTATTCCATTATAATGATATATATTCATAAGATCATTATCATAAACATATGGTTTAGACATAAGCAATGTAAGCTTTTGTCTAAGACCTCATAATTTTAAGAGCCTGATATGCACAAATATACACTTATAAATATCCAATCTTGGTCCAGTACTTTGGAATCCATACCATCAAGGATCTTAATTCTTGTATAAAGTAGTATGAGATACAGGCAAAACTTGTATAAAAGGAATTTTTCATGACCTCACTTGTCTAAAACCATATATAGCCTAAGATTGTCACTGTTTCATTTCATAAAGTAATTAGTGTTTTAAACTATTATGTTAATTCTTTCAATAATTTTAAAAATAAAATAGACATATATCAGTCATTGTTCCTCCATACTTATTCATTAGCAATCAGTTTAACACTGTTCTTATCTTGTACTGGATAGGGCAGCCACCATAGAACATCTGAGTCAGCTAATAACTCATGGAGAAAGTAGTATTTGAATTAGCACTCCCCAGATGGAGGGAAGAATGACCTCAAAGAAGCCCAACAGAGATTTCCAAGCCCAGAATTGGACAAAAGTATCTATAAATATGAAACATTGAGGAGGAAAGGGGACTTCTGCTTGGTGCTAGATAGAGAACAATGAAAGACAAATGTACAAGAAGTAGAAAATAAAGACCCTAATGTCAAAGATTGTGTGGCTTGGTCAAGAGAATGAGAGTTATGAAACCCAACTGGACAATAACCAAAGAACCAGCAACAAGGAACTTTGTGATCCTAAAAAAAGTAAGGAAAAGGCATGATTGATCACACTTGAAGAGACCTTTTTTGAATGTCATAACTGAATTTTAATATAAAAGTAATAAACTAATTTTCAAAATTTCTAAAAATTATTTGATTTAAAAATAAAATTTAAATATTTTCAAAAATATTAATTTTATAGACTAAACCTAATATAAATATATATAATCCAAATATATAATTTAAAAGATTTTGTAAAGTTAAAACAAAATATTAAGTGTTTTATAAGAATTAAAAGTTGAAATACTGGTTTTTATGTAAACATTGGAAATTAATAAAACAAACATACAGAGAAAAACCATTTCTAAACAATCATATTACCTATATCAATAACTGTATATGTAAGTTAATTTTAATATTCTTTAATATAAGTTTGGTATATTATTTTGTTTAGATTATATATATACATTTTTGAAACAGCCATTTTTGCAAATAGATTTCCACCATTATCATCTTGAAAATTTGACACTTCATTCAGTATTTATTTCATTAATCTGAGCATTTACATTTTTTAAAATTTTAATTAAACATACAAGATCAAATTAACAATGACTACAATCTCAGAGCAAACAAATTATGATTATGCACTTTCATAAAAAGTATATTATAGATAAGTATATATTATAGTAAAAAAATATATTATAGATAATATACAATATAATTTTAGGGGGTGTGAGCTGCTCGGCTAGCGTGTGAGTGAACTTTTGAGAGGAGTTGAGTCTCAGTAAATTAGAGCATGAAAGCGATAATAAAGAAAGGAAAAATGACTTGTGTAAAAGTTTGGAAATTTGCTAACAGGTTATCCTTGGATTTAATTATAATACTATTAATAATTGCTGGAGTTGAATCCAACCCAGGCCCTCTGGCCCGTTCCCCACAAGGATTAAGTCATTTGGAAATGCAAAAAAGGGGGCGTGGCAGACCTTGCAAGGTAAGTCCAAAGGACGAGGAGAAAAAGAATCAACTAGCAGAAATTTTAAGTGATGAATATTATCAAATAGACGGAAATAGTAAACAACTCTCTGAATCTACGAAGAGTCCGAAAATTTATGAGTACTTCGAACCAGTAAGAGAACTAGAATCACAAGTTATTGAGGAACCTCAATATACATTAAAATCCATCTATGATCTAATTCAGGATAAATTTAGTCAGGTAAATATGGAGATTCAATCGATTAAATCTGAAATAAACATATTGAAAGAAGAGAACAAGAATTACAAAGAAGAAATGAAAGGAATCAATCAAAAGCTACGAGAACTGGACGAAAAATTGAGAAATAATACTCATCTTAAAGGTATGTTGGAATTTGAAATTGATAAACTTGTAAACGAGAAAACTAAAAAGAATATAATCATTATGAACTACCCATTCAAATCACTAGATTACTTACAAGAAATTAAGTTATTCATAAATAATGATTTAAGATTAAAAAATAATGAAATAGAAGGACTAATCAAATTAAATAATAGAGAAAATAAACCTATTGTCAAAATAATTCTTGATTCTGTTAACGCAAGAAATGAGATTCTTAGAGAATTTTGGCAGTCGAAATCAAACTTAATTGGCAAGGACAAGGAAAAAATAATATTTACAGCCGATCTATGCAGACAATCGAGGTTATGAAGGAAATATCTACAGATTAGGATTAAGCAGGAAAAGTTAAATAAGAATAAAATAATAGTTAGAGATGATTATTATATAAAAGATAACTTAAGATATACGTATGACATTAATTCAGATAAGATTATTCAAATAGATCATTTTTTAGTAGTAGTATGATCATAGATCCAGAGGAAGTAGAGAAAAAAGACGTAATATACTAAATACTGAGATAACCCAAAATAAATCAAATTTTCTCCAGTATTCCAAAAATAGTTTGGAGAATTGTGCTGATAAGGAAAATAAAAATAATTTTACATCTGTAAAAAATACCAACAAAGGCAGAGAGAATTCATGTATAAGTTTTTGGAATATTCAAGGACTTCAAGAGAATATGATCAGTGAGCCAGTAAAAAGTTATATAAAATCTCATACTATAAGTGACTTCACGGAAATCTGGATTGCTGATTTCATTAAAGAAGACAAGGTGTTTCTAGAATATGAGGTTGTATAGCGGAGCTCAGAGGACAAGTAGAATGGGCCGTCCAGCAGGTGGTCGATTATTGTTAATTAAGAGGAACTTTGGTAAACTTTTTAAACACTGTATAACAGGAAAATTTATTTTTGTGGTGATTGAGCTGGAACTTAGAATTAATATATGTTGGAAAAATTATATTTAGGAATTATAATTATTAATCTGTTTACTTCTTCTGAAAAGTTAATATTAAATGAAATTGAAAGAAACATCGATCAGAATTGTTAAAAATTAATAACAAAATTATCAAATTTTCTAAGAGTAATTTCCCATGGTGTTATTTAAAAATTAATTTCAAAATTCCATATGTTTTGTGGCGGTAAAGACTCAAAGGAGCTAGTACAGAGTTTTGATCTATACCTTTCACCTAAAAGTACTAACGAAAAAAGCTAAGTATGTAGTAGTCCATATAGTCAAGATCGATACAATTTATAGACAATACAAATATGATTGCAAACTCAAGTTGATGTAATAATTTTAATATCTAAACAATAATAGGAATTTAATTATATTGTACACGTGTAAAGTAAAAATGCTTTCATTGTAGCACAAATTGATCCTCTCTAGAGGGTATTTTCCAAGTTGTACTTTAAACTTATCAGTCCATGTGATAGAGATATTGGTTTAACTCGGGTTGATGAAGATGTATTTTTTAGCAATAGTAAGATTTGATTGTTACTAATATACATCCCTTGTAACAGGCCACGGCCTTAATACGAATAAAAAAACTTGATTGATTACTATATAATTTTTTTTAATTTCAAACCTTTTTACATTATAATAAAATCTTTAAAATATATAAGATTAACTTACACATTCAAAATATATTTCCATTCTGAATTGACATCTTGAAAAGATTCTGGTATATTTTCAAAAACATCTTTTTCTACCATATCCCAATTAATTCTTTTTTCAGTAATTAAATCTAAAATCGGTTTTATGTGAGTAATATTCATAATGATTTTATAAAATTCTTTCCAAGATGGTTTAAAATTTTCATCAGTCAAAAACATTTGTAACAATTTATTTGTTTCATCCCAAGTATTTTTATCCTTAGTTAAATTACACATTAATTCCTGGATAGTACTTTTATTTAAATGATTGCACAACATGGAATATGTAAGATGAACATAAGATACTCCATATCCTAAAGGAAGGTATAACAAAACGTTGGGCTTCTTAATAGTTACACCAATATTTTTGAACATATTAATCCATGTTGTTTGATTATTCCAATTTTTGCTTTTTACAATAACTTTCTGGCTTACTAAATTTCCAGAATATTTTATAGAATTACTGAAATCTTCTTCAAATTTCTTCCAATCAATTGGATCTGTATTATTTATCTAGAAAAATATAATTTATATGAGATAAATTAAAAAATAATTTT